TGTAATGCTTATTCTTCTAAGATTATGATTGCATTTACAAATGTGTCTTTTCTGGTACTGTAAGATAAAACCCATATTTGGAGAATCTGTTTGATGCGTTGTTGACCCAATGAGCAAAGTAGCAAAGTCATGCACAAGTACAAAGTCTGTTCAAAGTACAATATGAAGCAGTAGAGTTTTATTTTTAAATAAAAAAAATGTATATTGAGACAAGGTCTTGTTCTGTGGCCAGTCTGGCCTCAAGTACTGATTCTTCCATCTCTGCATGCTGAGTAGCTGGGATCATGGGCACATACAGAAGCATGCTTTTTATTCCAGCAGATGGAGGCAGATCTCTGTGAATTTGAGGCTAGCCTGGTCTATACAGTGAGTTCCAATATAGCCATAGCTACCTACATAGAGAGATCCTGTCTCAAAAAATAAAAACAAAAGCAACAAACAAAAGACTGTTTGGGGCTGGAGAGATCGCTCAGTGCTGCTCTTCCTGAGGACCAGGGTTTGGTTTCCAGCACCCACATTATGCTGTTCTCAACACCCTGTAACTCTAGTTCCAGGAGATCCAGTGCCCTTGTTCAACACACGCACACACACACACACACACACTAAAGAAACAAAAAAAAACAAAAAAAATCTTGTAAAAAATCTTTAGACCTTTTAATTTGAGGTAATTCAGTCTTATTTCAGAAGAATTTCAAGAGTTTGGAGAATTCCTATAGCATTCCCACCCAACTTCTCCTAATGATAACATCCTTATGTCATCACAATGGATGACTTTTAATGTAAAAAGCTCAATGACCTTATTGATCCAGTTTAGATTCCATGTTGTAACTAACCTTTAACAATCTACTACTAACTGGACATGGTGGCACATGCCTATAATTCAGCACTAGGGAGGCTGAGGTGGGAGAAGTATCATACATTCAAGACCATTGGGGCTATAAATGAGTTCAGGGCAAGCCTAGGCTGCATAGCAAAAACCTATCTCAAATAAATAAATAAGTAAGTAAACCAAAAGGGTATCCCTTGCTTATATAATCTTAGTCCAGTATCTAAGACTACCTGGGGGAAACCTGTGATGTCTTCTCCACTCTTCTTCTTTCCAAGTGTGTAGTCGGAAGGTTTCTCCGGTCTCTCCTGGCCCCAAGGTCCCATAGCCATTTATAAAATAATCATTCAGAGGCTTAATATTAATTACCAATTGCATGGCCTATGGCAGGCTTCTTTCTAGTTAGCTCTTATAACTTGATCCATTTCTGTTAATCTGTAAGTTACCATGTGTTCCATGGCTTTATCTATGTGCCATTACATGCTGCTCCCAGGACAGTGGGATGGCATCTTCCCTGCCTCTCCCTTCTCCTTTCACTATCTCCCTTGGATTTTCCCACATGGCTCCATCCTGCCCTGCCACAAGCCAAATGACTTTATTTATCAACCAATCAGAGCAACATATGTTCACAGCATACAGAAAGACATCCCACAGCACAAGTACATGTGGATAATTTTTTAATAAATATCAACCAAAATTATCTATCATAAAAGGGTGAAGTCAGAAGATACAAGAACCCCTTTTCCTTTCAATTAGGCTAAATAGTCAATAGACTTGCAAAAATGTAAAACAAGACCCAATTTTTATATAATAAATAATAGAGAAATGTATTTTAAAGCGTCTTTGATATACTTGAAGTTTTTGCCATTTTTAAAGATAAGATAAAATTTGTACACTAATGAGAAAGATGTGCTTTATTTTTATTTTCGAGATTTCATACATGTATACAATGAAATATTATCATCTATCCCTCTTTTCTTCTCCAGCTCCTCCTTTCATCCAAACACATCCCTTTCTAACTTCATGTTTGGTTTTTTAAATAAACAGTTAAGTCCAGTTAGTGCTGCCCATATATGCAACTAGAGACCCATGCCTTTATCCCGCCTTCTCTCCAATCCCTTTCCCCATTCTCTGATAACTGTGTTACTCCCCACACATGGGTGAGTTTATATGATATTTGTATTTCTGTGTCTGGCTTCTTTCACTTAACACAGTGCCCCCCATATTCACCTGTATGGTTAAAAATGATATGATTTCCTACTTTTCCAGGGCCAAATAGTGTTCAATCGTACATATGGTATCACATTTTCTTTATTCATTCCTTAATTTTTTAATTGTTTGCATGTGTTCATGTCTCTTGGTGGACACAAGTGACTCAATGTCAGTTGTGCATAGTGCATAATGAACAGGAGTGTGCAGACATCTTTGACATAATGATTTAATTTCCTTTGGATATATACATATACGCATGTATTGTACATGTTGACACCTTTAGCTTTGGCTTTCAGAGAAATTTCTGTACTGTTTTCTACAATGGCTGCATTTATTCACATTCTTACACAAGAGTACAAATGTCCCTCGATTTCTATGCTCCCCCAAACTTTTATTAAAAAAAAAAAATGTGCCAGGTGGTGGTGGTGCACATCCTTATCCCATCACTTGGGAGGCAGAGGAAAGTGGATCGCTGTGAGTTCAAGGCTAGCCTGGTCTATAGAGCAAGTTCCAGGACAGCCAGAACTACACAGAGAAACCATGTCTTGAAAGATAATAGATAGATAGATAGATAGATAGATAGATAGATAGATAGATAGATAGATAGATAAATGCTTTATGTGTATGGGTATTTCACCTATGGGCCTGTATCTGTGCCCACATGTGTGCTGGGCCCACTAGGGCAGAATAGGGTGTTAGGTACCCTGGAACTGGAGTTCCAGATGGTTATGAGCTGTCATCTGGGTGCTGGGAATGAAATCCAGGTCCTCTGCAAGAGCAGCACATAACCACTGAGCATCTCTCCGGTCCAGTGGTTCTCAACCTTCCTAATGCTGCAACACTTTAGTACATTTTCTCATGTTGTGGTGCCCACCAACCATAAAATTATTTTCTTTGTTATTTTATAACTGTAAATTTGCTACTGTTATGAATTGTAATGTTAATATCTGAAATGAAACCCCTGTGAAAGAGTCGTTCAAACTCCCTGCCCGAAAGGGGTCATAATCCACAGGTTGAGAACCACTGCTCTAGATCCTACCCCCAAGATTTATAGTTCTATATATTTGCTGCTTACCCTTCTAACAAGTGTGGAGTGATATCCCACAGTGTTTTGACTTGAGCTAGCTACTCTGATGATGAATGAGGTTGAATGTTTTCTCTCACAGCTGGTCATTTGCATGTATTCTTTTGAGAGTTGTCTATTCAAGCCCTTTACCCATTTTGAAACAGAATTATTTGTTTTATTGATACTGTGTTGCTTGAGTTCCTTATGTATTTGGTTGCTAACCCTTAATGGGGTGTATAGGTTGCAAGAATTGTATCTCTCCCTGTAGGTTGCCTCTTCACTCTGATCATTGTATCAACTATATATCTAGAAGAAAGGCAGACAACTGAGCCTTTAGGGCAGTGGCTCAGTGACTGTAGCCCTAAAGATAATTCTGTTGTTTTACTATATATAGTCATTTTTTTCATGAAAAAAATTTGTACTATTATGTCATTACATATGTATTTAAATTTTTCTCACTTAACCTTGGGTAAAGGAGAGAGGGTGGCTGGGGGCCTTATTGTAGAGAGCTGTGTAATGCCAGGAAGTTTTGGCAAGGAGTCAAACGCCTCCGTCATGAGCCTGGCACACTCAGTCAGAGACTGGGGCAACCTCTGGGAAACAGCCGTAATCAAACACAGGGTCCTGGAGGCTGGGGGTTTTATTCAGCGGCATCTGCTGTAGTGGAGTGTAGAGAGCACATGCTCACAGCCACTGTGCTTTGTGTTCTGGGGCATCTCATTCATGAAAACAGCTGATGGAGCTCTGTTATGCAAAACTCTTCAGAATTTCACCTTTTGCATCTGTGTGTGTGTGTGTGTGTGTGTGTGTGTGTGTGTGTGTGTGTGTGGGTGTGGGTGTGGGTGTATGTGTGTGTGTGAGAGAGAGACAGAGAGACAGAGAGACAGAGAGAGACAGAGACAGAGAGAATCTCACCACATTGCCCAGTTACCCTGGAGTTCATGATCCTCCCGCCTCAACCTAGAGTACTGGGATCACAGACATTCATCGTCATGCCTGGTTCATATCTTATTATTTGGAACCTTGTTTTTTTTTTCCAACCCCAAATTTCTGTATTCTCTCCATTCTCTTTCACTTCTCCCTGCAAAACACTTGATTCCTTCTTGAATTTTAGTTTTTTTTCTCTTAACACCGTGTCAAATGCATCCAATACACATTGCTAATGTTTCATTTTCCCAATTCAGAAAACACAGGGTCTGCCTTTTAGGCTCTAATGAGTCTGTGACATTTTTTAACAGCTGTTTTGTTCCTGCATGCATGGATCTCCAGCTGTTTGGCCTGCTAGATATCACTCACCACTCAGATGCTAAAGCCAGATGCAGGGTTTCTATTGCTGTGGCAACCCTGTCACCGAGGAACATCACTGATCTAGTCACAGTCACCAGTGGAGCCTGCTGTTATTGGCAAACTAAGGGCTTTCGGTGGCGGCATCCAGCAAAGGTTTATTTCTTGTTCAAATTACAGCATGATGTATATCACAGAAACACCAGGCTCCAGGCTGCTTCATCTTGCAACTCTACCATTTCTGATTCCTTCTTTATAGTCAGTGGATAGAAAAATGAGAGAGCAGAGAAGACACGCTGACACCTGACTGCCTCAGCCTGGGAGTAGCAGAAGTCGTTGCCTACAGAGTATCACACTAACCCTTGATATTTTTGCTGATGTTGACCTCATGAGAGCTCATCTCTGACGCTAGCCTCCGATGCTGGCGCGGCTGTGACATTGCTCCCTAGAGGGGATGGCGTCAGGGAATGTCTTGAATCTGCACCGAAGCCACTGTTGCTCTGTTGAGTTGTATCATAACTATAGAACATGTGCTGTATACCAGTTCAGCTTGCTCCTTACCTAGAAACCAGATGTTTCTTCTTTTCTCTCTGTTTCTCCTTCCACTGTGAGGCAGCAAGCAACAAGCACATCCAGTGGCTGCTGGGAGCCGATGGCGAGGTCTGGGTGTGGGTCATGGGGGAAGGCCCTGGTGACAAGCCCTATGAAGAGATCTCTGAGGAGCTGATTGCAGAGAGAGCACGGCTGCAAGCACAGAGAGAAGCTGAGGAGCTCTGGTGAGAGGTGCTGGCAGGGAGGGTGCCGGGTGGGGCCTGAGCGTGGAGCCCTGGGTAGATAGATCTAAGCTATGGGTGGAAAATGAGGTACTGGTCAGTGGCTGGCTGGGTTGAGCTCTGTAAAGATCAAATAACCAAGGCATCAAGATCTCCCATCAGTAAACCTTGTGGGTTCAAGTGTTAGACCCACCAATCAACTAGTCTGGGACCTCAGTTTTCTCCTATTGGTGATATGCCTAACAACCTATCACCCCTTTCTGTATGCCTGAAGTTTGGATTTACCTGGACAGGATGGATAGCGTGTGGTGCATGTTCATGTGCTCATGTGCCTGTGTTTGTGTGTGTAAAAGCCAGAGATCAATGTCAGATATCTTCTTCTGTCACTCTCCACACTATTTTTTGACGCAGAGTCTCTCACCAATGCAGCTAGACTTGGTAGCCAGTGAATTTTAGGGATCCTCCTGTTTCTGTCGTCCCAGTGCTAGGATTATAAGCATGTGCTACTGCATCCAGATTTATGATGAGGACTCTAGGGATCTGAATTCTTTTTCTGTGCTCACATGGCAAGTGTTTTACCAACTGAACCATTTCCACAGCCCTAGCCACTCTGGGAAGTTCTCACAGGGATGGTCTAGCAGTAATGTTTCACCATGGCTTCTGTTGTTCCTCTGAATATGATTTATGCATTCACAGTAGAAGGACAGATGAGCCCTCAGGAAAGTTTAGAGTCAGACTCTTTTTATCAACAACTTTTAACATTTTTTTTTTTCCTCGCCAAACTTGGAAATCCATGTGACAGTGTCTTTAGTGTCCTCCATTATCAAGTCTGAATGATGGTGTTTTAGTTGTAAAATTGTAAAAATGCAAACAAAACTGAAGATCATAATGAACTCAAGAACACCCACTAACCAAGCTAACCATGAAGAGTATTTAAGAGACAAAAGGTTTTATTTATACCTTGACAGATTCCATCAGTTCAAATCCTAAGGTTGTTGAAGATTCTCAGTAGTGTTCTATTACACAGGACTGCAACTTATTTGTGTTTTTGATAAATATTTGAATTGCTCATAATTTCTTTCTTTTTTTTTTTCAAGACAGGGTTTTTCTGTGTAGTTTTGGTGCCTGTCCTGGAACTCACTCTACAGACCAGACTGGCCTCAAACTCACAGAGATCCACCTGGCTCTGCCTCCTGGGTGCTGGGTTTAAAGGCGTGCACCACCACTGCCTAGCTCATCATTTCTTTTCATAAAACTCTGCTGAACATCTACTATATACACCTTTGGCTACTTGAATGAGAAATGGGATTTTCACTTCTTGTTTCTGAGCTTCCAGAATGATCTTGCTGGTTTACCCTTCCTTCTCTCCACCTTCCTTTGCCATTGTGAGCTCTGGTAATCTTAGCAAAATGTGTTTGCTGTTCTGTGTACCAAGGGAAGGCTGCTCATTGCTTTTACTTGAAGTTGCGTTGTGTCATGCTCTTCTAGTTTTTTACTTAAGCTCACCCCTGCTGCTACTCTCTTGGAAGGAGACAGAAAGAAGCAGAGATCACCAAGAAGTTCCGGGATGCCTTGGCCAATGAGAAAGCCCGGATCCTAGCGGAGAGGTGGAAAGTGGAGATGGAGGACCGCAAGGCTGCCAAAATTCTGGAGGAACGTATACATGAGGAATTCAAGGTGGGACAGCACATGGGGCACCTGGGAGGGGCACCTACTCTAGTCTCCAAGTTTGATGTGGCCACTGTCTGATTGGAATCTGTTCTTGGCCATTGGTTGGCCTGGGTGTGCAATAAGACAGAAATCTGGCATACCTAACCTGGAAGGAAGTTGACACCCCTTAGGCCCATCTATCTCCTTTTTGTATAGATGAGGAAGTGAGGGCAAGAAAAGGAAAATGAATTGCCAAGGCCACACATAATAGTGGTTGTGTAAAGAGTTAGGAACAGAATATTGGCCTTCTTTATCCCAAACTGAGCATGTTGTGAAATGAGGCCCCAGGAACTTCTGACCAGCTCAGCTGGAATTCACTTCCAGTTCTACTACTGATTGCTTTATGACCCTGAGATACTTTCTGTCATAGTTAGGGTTTCTACTGCTGCAACAAAACACCATGACCAAAAAGAGGTTGGGAAGAAAAGTGTTTATTCAGCTTATGTTGCTGGAGTCTAACAGTTCCCTCAGGGAAAGGGGTGAGAAGACGCGGCATCAATGGCACAGACACTGGGAGTCAGTTGAAGACAAACAATAAACTCCTTTATTTAATAATGGGGAGGGTCTTATACACCCTCCTCTCAGCATCCAGTCAGTGTCACAATCTGGTGGCATTGCATGGTCATCCCTCATTGACTGGGCATGATCAGGAACTCTGACAGTGACCAGGAACTGACAGCACCTGTTGCTAGGCCCTCAGGGAGACTCTGCATGATCAGGAACTCTGACAGCAACTGGAAACTCTGACAGCACCTCTTGTTAGGCCTTCAGGCAGACTCCAGGTTGGTTGGCTCATAAGAAAGTACCTTATGTGCATGCCTTGGCAACTGGTTTGAGCCAATTTCCTTGACCCTATGGGCCCTCTACAAGCCTTATTATAAGGTTACTCTTCCACATTGCTGTTTATCATCAAAGAAAGTAAGGAGAGGAATTCAAGCAAGGCAGGAACCTGGAGACAGGAGCTGATGCGGAAACCATGGAGGGATGCTGCTTACTGGCTTTCTTCCCATGGTTTGCTCAGCCTGCTTTCTACCATAATCCAGGCCTACCAGCCTAGGGATGGCACTACCCTCCCCCATTGATCACTAATTGAGAAAACACATTATTTCATGGGGGCATTTCCTCAACTGAGGCTCCTTCCTTTCTGATGACTAGCATGTATCAAGTTGACACACAAAATCAGCCAGTACAACTGACCCCTTGTCAACAGGACACACAAACACATCACACAAACACATCACACTCCTTCCTTTCTTATTTATTCACAAAATCTCACATTAAAAACATATATAACTTTAAAAGTTCCACAGTCTTTACAAATTCAAACACCTTAAAATTTCAGCCCCTTTAAAACAGCCAATCTCTTAAAATCCAAAATCTTTTTAAATTCAAAGCCTCTCAACTGTGGGCTCCAGTAAAATACTTTCTTACTTCAAGAGGGAAAAATCAGAGCACAGTCACATCAAAGCAGGACCAAATTCTTACCATCTGGGATCCAATCACAATCTTCTGGACTACTCCAAAGGGCTTGGATCACTTCTCTGGCTCTGCCCTCTGCAACCCACATAGCTTGTCTTCTAGGCTCCTTCCTCTGTGATGATTCTGGCTTGTGAGGAGTTGATACACAAAGCCAGCCTGTACATTTGCTAAATTTCTCTGAGTTATTGACTTGCTTTTGGTAAAATGGTAGGAAGAATAGTCTACTTTGGATTTGTTTGTTTTGTCAGGGCCTCACTAGGTAGCCCTGGCTGACCTTGAACTCCCAGAGATTCACTTACCTCCGCCCTTTGAGTCTTAGAATTACAAATTTTTGCCAGCATGCTTGGAAAGCCTTTTATTTTTTTATGAAGATTTAGGGAGAGGACATAAGTACATTTTTGACCTAGGAATGTCTGGATATGTGGTGTTATTAACTAGATCTGTAGGGTTTTGGAATTGGTAAATGAAGTTCCCTGTTCTCTGGTAGTGTAATGGTTGGCTTTAATTGTCAGCTTGACACAATCTAGAATCACCTGGAAAGGGAGTGTTCATGAGGAACTGTCTAAATTAGTTGGCTCATTCGCCTATCTGTGGGGGATTATCTGGATTACATTAATTGATGTGTGAAGACTTAGCCTAAAAACGGGAGCACTGTGCCCTGGGCTTGGACCCTGGACTTGGACCCTGGACTGTGGAAAAGAGAAGGTGAGCTGAGTGTAAGCATGCAGGCATCCATTTTCTCTGCTCGTGACCAGCTGCTTTGAGTTCCCACCATGATGAACTGCAACCTACAATTGTGAGTTAGAATCACCCCTTTCCTCCTGAGTTGTTTTTGTCAGGGTATTTTTATCATAGCAACAGAAAGGAAACTACAACAGGTAGGAAGCTTAAATCACCTGAAAACATTCTTTTTCATTATAGGTACAATACGTTTATTTATTAGAAAACACACACACAAATACAGATAAACAGAAAACAAAAAAAAATCACATTCAATTCCTACATTGTACTATTTTGTACATTGTATTGTTGAAACCAAACACAGCTGGACATTAGTCAAGGCAGGAAAACAGAGACGAGGCTGGGAATACAGTATGCACAAGGCCCTGGGTTTCATATTCAACATTTGCCAAAAAAACAAAACACAAAAGATTTTTCCTTTTGGTGACTACTGACAGTGGAGGAGAGAGCTTCGATCCCTCAACATTTGTGGTGATTTGTGGGAATGAGCACTGGAGGGCAGGGCAGGGGAGAGCCTGCTCAGAGCAGTGTTAGAGGAGGAAAGAAGCTAGAAGCAGGGCAGTTTCTAATGAGATGCTGAGTTCCCTAGGCCAGGCACTTGGTGAAGTGGGGCGTCTGTCCTCCTTCAGAAGCTGGGGGAAGGAGCCCTTCCTGCTGGTGATTACAGTGCCAAAGAAGCTCTCTGGGCATCCAGACACATGCTTCTGAGTTGAAAGAGATGTCATCACAGCTTCAAGTTCCCTGTAAGGAGTGCTGTAAGTACAGACAGCCGCCAGGTGCAGGCTAGACCACATTGCACATTTTTCTGGCATCACCAAGCTTTCTCAAGCAGGCCCTTGAGTGGATCTGGATTCATCCTGGGGACATGATCTTAGGAGCTGGAAGCTAAGCTGGAGTTTGGTCCGGTCTCTCCATGCGCAGCTTTGGAAGGAGTTATGCTTTGAGTTTCACTTGTCAGTGTCTTTACAGCATCTGCCTATTTTAAAACCTGTTCCTTCCTCCCTAGCAATAGCGTAGTGAGGAAGTTGAGATCCGTTCCTCAGCAGCTATTGCTTTTCTTAGTTTTGGTTATCGTATTTTCAGATGTATAGAAGCTCAAAATGTTGGTGAGCCAAGCTCATTAATCTTTTCCTTTATTATTTGTTTTAGGCCCAGAAAGCTTCCTTACATTTGTTTTTTTATACCTTTCATGCTCTTGTTTCTCTGTATTTAGTTTTCCTCCGTCTTGGGAGAGTGTACAGTATCGTGCTCTGACTGTGTTTTTCCCCAGCTCTCGGGCGTTACCGCAGTGGGTGCCCCCCGTCTCCCTTTGTCTACTATCTTGGCTGGCGTTGACTCTTTACCTGCCCCGGATCTCTTCAGTTTTCCGCTATGATTTATTATTCCCAGGCCAGAATAACTGTTTAATTATCATAGCTTTAAAATAATTCTTTAGCATCTGTTTAGGTAAGAACCCCATCATTTTGCTTTATTTTCAAAACGTTTTTGGCAAATAACCTCACTTATATTTTTTCTTCTACCAGCAGAACTTTTAAACTATTTTTCTTACTGTTTTTCCCCTCAAATAACAATTCATGGAGATTTTTACTGGGATTGCGTCACGCTGTAGCTGTGTTTGTGGAAAATGGACATTTTAAAAAAATATTCAGGCTTGGAATATTCTTTGGGAATGTGTTGTTTCTCTTGTGATCCAAAGCCACTTTTGTCTTCATTATTTTTTTTATTTACACACTTGTAAAATCAATGGTTTCCTGGTTCCAAACAGTCTCAGGAACTTCCATAAACCTATAAGTTTTCTGAACCCTGGTAAAAACTGAGTACACTTATACCTGTACACATCTATATACATATGTATACACATATATAAACACATGTATATACATAGACACACTTGTGTATGTGCATATATATATACAGATACACATCTTTATATGTACTTTTATGCATCTTTTTGTCATTATTTTGCTGAACAACTTAAAAGAAGGTTGCATAGATAATGATACTCAAGTGTCAGCTAAGTACTTTCTGAACATTGTCATGTAGTATTTTAGGCTACAGCGGCCATGCCATCTATGTGGCACTACTCAGTTTGCATTGTAGTACAATAGTCACTGTATACCATATGCCTGTGGCTATGTTCCAAGAAGACCTCCCTTTTTAGAGATAGATGGAGGTTAGTGTTTCCTCATGGCCTGATGACACTCTAAGCCCTCTGCGTGCATCTCCTCTGAGTAAGGACCCGTCAGAACCACAGCCATTGCTATTATACCTATTGTAGTCAAGAGTAAAACTATGAGGCATGTCCTATCTGTCAGGTTCAAAAGAAATTTGGGATAAATGACTAACTGTGGTGACTATTAGCATACAGAATGTCTGCTGCTGGCTCCAGGCTCACTCAGTACCTCTGGCTGTTCTCAGCTCTTCTCATCCTGGCACGCCCCCCAAAAAACTTCTCCAGCTTCTGGACTTCTCTTCCCCCAGCTCCTCATTCCTACACAACCCTGCCCATTTTGGCCTTGTGCTTTCTTGGCTCTCTCCTAGTTCTCTCTCTCTTGCCCCCCTCTCTTGGTTCTCTTCTCCCCCAAACTTCCTCATGGTCCAGTCCATTCTGCTGGCCATGCTCAGTCTACTACTTTTCCCTCTGTTCTAGACTCTTCCAGATGCCTCTGGCTGTACTCTCCCCCATATCTAAATAAAAATCTTCCCCTTAATTATACCTTGGAGTGGTCCTGTCCTCACTTTATACA